GGTGGTAGACAGGGTTCCTCTGCTCAGGACAGGAGGAGTTTGGGGGAGTTGTAGGTGCTTCTGCGGAGCCGGACCACAGCCTAAATGGGATCGGCGTCCTCCCCACCACACTTCATTGAGATGTGACAGAGACAACTTGGAGATTTCAGGAGGCCACTCATATCCCAACCTTCTGTGGTTTATTAATATTTTAAATTAAAATTTGGGAGATACTGGGGATTGAACTGGGGGATCCTTGACCCCTGAGCCCCGTCCCCAGCCCTATTTTGCATTTTATTTAGAGACAGGGTCTCCCTGAATTGCTCAGGGTCTCGCTAAGTGGCTGAGGCTGGCCTCCAATTGTGATCCTCCTGCCTCGTCCTCCCTCGTTGCTGGGGATGACTCAGAGGTTGTTTTAGCGGGTGAATTCCAGGGTGCTTGAGAAGAATAAGTTGGGGTTGGGGCTGGGGCTCAGGGGTAGAGCGCTCGCCTAGCAGGTGGGAGGCCCTGGGTTTGATCCTCAGCACCACATGAAGATAAATAAAGGTATTGTGTCCATCCACAAGTAAACAATATTTGAAAAAAAAAACATTTAAAAAGAAGAAGAAGTTACCTTTTATTTAAACAAGGCTGAAGTGAGCTTTTCTGACATGCATGCTAAAGCTGGAGTGCGTAGCTAAAGATGAACTGCAGCCTCTCCACCTTTGGTCGCTCAGGTCCACCGGGAACATGCAAAATGTGCATTGATTAATCACCACCACCATTTCTCATTAAATGACTTTTTTTTTTTTATTCCCCCAATGCACTAATGAGATTTTCCTGATCTGTCTCTTGTAGTTTCGTTCCTTGCCATCCATGTTACTCAACCCTGGAGATGCATCCCCTGCAAAAGAGGGTTATTATCACAGCTGGTGGCTTCTGACCCACCCTGTCATCCCAGCAGCTCCGGAGGCTGAGGCAGGAGGATCGTGAGTTGGAGGCCAGTCTCAGCAAAAGCGAGGCTCAAGCCACTCAGGGAGACCCTGTCTCTCAATAAAATACAAAATAGGGCTGGGGACGGGGCTCAGGGGTCAAGGGCCCCTGGATTCAATCCCCGATACCAAAAACAAAAAATCTGGTAATTTAACTGAGGACAGAGATGGTCGTCATCTTTTGTCTCCTGAGAGGGCCTCGAACACTGCTTGGCCCAGAATCATAGACGCTCAGAATGACAGGTGGCTCTGTGTAACTGACTGTCTAACACAAATTGGCTGGCCTCCAACTTGTGATCCTCCAGCCTCAGCCTCCCCAACTTGCGATCCTCCGGCCTCAGCCTCCCCAACTTGCGATCCTCCGGCCTCAGCCTCCCCAACTTGTGATCCTCTGGCCTCAGCCTCCTGAGTCTCCAGAATTACAGGCGAGTGCCACCAGGCCCAGCTCCTGTAAGACATTTTTGTGGGGAAGACGTGCTAATAATGGGTCTCCTGCTCGCTCGCCATTTGACCTGGATCCCAGGAGGCCTCAGTGGTTTCGACTGTGAACCCAGAAGGTTGGGTCTGGTCCTTATCTCTGGACCCAGCCCTGTCCTGTGCCAGGAACTGTGGCAGCAAGGGACACCTGGAGGACAGGCTCCCCTTGAACAGGGGATGTCACTTGATGGTCCCTTAGAATGTGGTGAGTCAGGTGTAGCCACAGGACCTTGTTCAGGGTGGTGTGTGGACAGAGGCGGGCCACCCACCCAGGGGAGCCTCCAGCGAAGGCTGCTCAGGCGCTGAGGCTGCAGGCAGGAGGCCGGATGTGACAGGACAAAGGTGGCGGGCAGCGTGTCCCAAGACCCAGGAGGCTCCCAGACTGTGGGGTCCTGGAAATCGCTAGAAGCTCGGCTCATCTGCAGCTCAGAGGGGGGCTGCGGAGAGCGGAGGGAGGGAGGGAGACCCTGTGTGAGGAGTCCCTGCCACTTTAAAGCGTCTGGCCTGCGTTGTCGTGGTGACGGGTCGCTGAGCCTCATTTGCATTTTAGATTTCTCTGAGCTTTGTTACTCAAAGTGGGGTCTGGGGACAGGCGAGGCCGAGGCCTGCAGACTCCATCCACAGCCCAGAGCCCGAGCCCAGAGCCCAGAGCGGCAGGTGATTCATACACACCACCAGAGCCGGAGGGTGGTTGGAGGAGACGTGAGTTTTTTGGGAGGTGCTAAAAGAACTGTAGAGGCCAGGAGGCCTAAAATGTGTCCAAAGCCTCTCCTCCCCCTCCTCTTCCTTCTTCCTCTTTTCCTACCAGGGGCCCTTGACCCCGGAGCCCCGTCCCCAGCCCTGTTTTCTATTTTATTTAGACAGAGGGTCTCACTGAGTTGCTCAGGGCCTCGGTTTGGTTGAGGCTGGCCTCCAACTCGCGATCCTCCTGCCTCAGCCTCCCAAGCTGCTGGGATGACAGCGTGCGCCACTGCGCCCCGCTGCCGTGATCCTCTTGACGGCTTGGCTTTTGCGTTCAGGTGGGGCAAACCCGGAGGATGCCTGTCTGAGCTCAAGAGACCATCATCAAACATCCACTAGTTGCCTTTGAACTCGCTCCAGCCCTAGTGTCCAGGGCACGTCAGCACCTGCTGCGACCCTGTTGCTGTGAGGTCTCTGTCAATGGACGGGTGGGTGCGTGGATGGGTGGGGGACAGATAGGTGGGTGGGTGGATGACAGAAGGCAATCAGCACTCAGGCCCCACTCGGATCTGCAAGGAGAACTCCGTTATGATTCTCTGGGTGTATCCGTCAGCTAGTTCTGCGTAACAAATCACCCCCAAGTTTAGTGCTCAGCGCAGCTGTTCCCTAGGTGTGACCCCTGGGCCACGGGCATCAGCGGGGAACTTGCTAGAGAATGAAGGCTCCTGGGCCTCCTCGCAGAGCACCTGGATTCTGGCTCCGGGGTGGGGTCTCGCCCTCCTGTTTAACAAGCCCCCCAGGTGCCCCCGTGCCCTGCGGTTCCGAAGGCCCCGGTGTGGGACAGGACAGCACCTGTGTCCACCCTCGCGTCTGCAGGAGGGCGGTGCAGGTGGCCCTCGGCCAGGGGTTCTTGGGCTTTGGGGACTCCTTCCAGTTTGAGTTGGGCAGTGGCTCGTCCTTGTCTTAGTTGGGACACTGGGACCAGTGGCCGTCTTTTCTGTGGGAGGTCACTCTGCAGCGCCAGCCCCGCTAGCCCGGCCCAAAGCCCTGGGACCATGGAGTGTCACAGAGCCCTCTGAGTCTGCCCATGGAGACGGCACCTCCCTCCCCTCGGCCAGGGGCTCAGAGAGGCCGCAGGTCAAGTTCAAGGGTGGGGAGTGGGGCTTCAGGTCGGGCTGCGGAGCCGTGTCCCCAGAGGTCACTGGGGGGCCAGGACTGGGCACAGTGTCTACCCAGGAATGGGGGGACTCTGATAAGGCAGGTTTTGTGGCGGCAGGTGACACCCTGTCCCTCTCCCATCTGCCTGTTGGGGGTTGGACATCGCTCCCCTGGTCTTTCCAGGGCCGGGGCACCCCGCGATGGCGGAGGGGGTCGGAGGGGAAGGTCCTGAGAGGCCTGGGTAGAAAGGATCCGAGGGCCAAAGTCCACGTGCGTCAGGCTGCTCCGTCCTCACGCCACCAAAAGCCCTGGCCAGACCCACTGCGGGGAGGAGAGCTTACTTGGAGTCTGGTTTTAGAGGCTCAGTTTGTGGTCGGCGGACTCCACAGCCCTGGGCCTCAGGTGACGCAGGACAGCATGGCAGAAGGGGGTGGAGGGGGACAGCAGCTCAGGACATGGCCACCAGGAGGTGAAGAGAGCCCTGCTCCCCAGGGAGAAAACATAGACCTCAGAGGCGCGTTCCTGGTGGCCTCCTTCCCCAGCCTCGCCCCCGCCTGGCCTCCTTCCCCAGCCTCCCCCCAGCCTGCAGCTGTTCCTGGCTCATCCCCAGATGAACCCACTGACTCGGCCCCACCTCTGGTCATGGAATCCAGTCACCTCTCAGCCTTCCTGCACCATCTCACACATGGGCCACCGGGGGCACCTCCCGTCTCAGCCACAGTGCCACCCATTCCTGGGGACAGAGAACTCTCCAAGGAAGGTGGACCCACATCGGTGGCCGTAGCTCTGGGGCTCTGAGGACCTCGGCTCTAGGAACCACCCCACCCAGGCGCCTGGCTCTGCATCTGAGTCCCTGGTGTGGACGCGGGGTCCGGGGCTTGGAGCCAAGTCCACCTGGAAGTGGCACCTTAGACCTTGACCGTGGTGTCCCCGAGCACAGGAGTCTTCTGGGAGGTGACTCCTGGCTCCCCTGTGGGCAGGTCTCCCAGCCAGGGCTCCTCAGGGAACAGCCACAGAGCAGGCGCTGGGGGAGCAAGGTCACTGCCTCCCCAACTCCCAGCCTCGCCCCAGGGCCTCCCCGCAGCTGTGACTTGGCCTCCTGGAGCTCAAGGCCCGTGGATGATGATGACGATGATGATAATTTGGTTCCAGGGTTGGAACCCAGGGGCCTTTAACCCCTGAGCCCCGTCCCCAGCCCTTTTTATTATTCACTTAGAGACAGGGTCTCACTGAGGTGCTTAGGGCCTCACTAAATTGCTGAGGCTGGCCTCCACCTTGCAATCCTCCTGCCTCAGCCTCCGGATCAGCTGGGTATACAGGCGTGTGCCACCATGCCTAGCCCAGAGGGGGCCAAGTCAATTGAGCCCTCTGTCCCCTACCATCTCCCTCTCTCTCCCCTTAGCCACTGTCACATGGAGGTCTGAGCAATTGGTCCTTTTTTGAAATGAAGATGGCATCTTGGAATCCTCAGGCAGCCCTTGGGTATTCAGAGATGTCATCGAAATCCCCGGCCTCTGGCATCTTCTTGGTGACAGGTGATGGTTAGAGACAAAATCTAATCCCAGTGGCCTGGGAGGCTGAGGCAGGAGGATCGCGAGTGGAGGCCAGCCTCAGCACCTTAGCGAGGCCCTGAGCAACTCAGTGAGATCCTGACTTTAAATAAAAAATAAAAAGGGCTGCGCGGTGGCTGAGGGCTCAAGCGCCCCAGGGCCGCCCTTGGCCTCTGCTAACGTCCGGCCTTTGTGTCCGCACAGGAGCGTCCCTGGGTTCCCGTGCAGCCGGGACCGATGAGCCTGGCCCCGAGGGCCTCACGTCCACCTCTCTGCTGGACCTGCTGCTGCCCACCGGCCTGGAGCCACTGGACGGGGAGGAGCCCAGTGAGTCCATGGGCCTGGGAGCCGGCCTGGGGGCCCCCGGCTCGGGCTTCCCCAGCGACGAGAGCGAGGAGTCGCGGATCCTGCAGCCGCCTCAGTACTTCTGGGAGGAGGAGGAGCTCAACGCCTCCAGCCTCGACCTGGGGCCCACCGCAGGTAGCGCTCCCCGCCCAGCGCATGCGCGAGCGTGGGGCGGCTGCAAGGGCAGGGGCGGGCCCTGCCAGCATCCCCTGTGACCCCCACGAGGGTCACCACACTGCCGTCCGCGGGACACCAAAGCCAAGTCCCCGGGACTCTGTGTTTCTTTAATTCTAACCACTCTTTATTTAGTGAGGCCCTATTCTGTGTTCCCCACTTTTTTTTCTGGTACCAGGGATTGAACCCAGGGGTGCTTAACCCCTGACCCCCATCCCCAGCCCTATTTTGGATTTTATTTAGAGACAGGGTCTCTCTGAGTGGCTCAGGGCCTGGCTAACTTGCTGAGGCTGGCCTCCACCTGGCGATCCTCCTGCCTCAGCCTCCCGGGATGCTGGGATGACAGGCCTGCACCACTGCGCCCGGCCAACTACTTTCATTTGCATCATGGGTAATATTTGACACGCTTATCTTTTAAACTTGACAGTGTCTTTCTTTCTAGATGTTTCTAAACATTTTTGCCTGTTTTTCTTTGCTTTATGACTAGTCTTTGCGTCACTGAAATATGCACTCCTGCCTTCCTTCTTTCTCTAATCCACCGTAACTGACTATGGCGCACGGTGTAAGGTGGGGTCTCATCGCCCTCTCCCACTGAGACCTGTCGCCACGTGGACCCCGTGTGGAAGGACTATAAAGCAGTTTCCCTCCCGGGTCTGCGCCTCGTCCTTCCTCCTGAGGCCGCGGGGGGCGCTCGGAAGCCCGGCTGCCGCCCTGTGTCTGCTCATCTCCGTGGGCTGCCCCAGGTCTCCTGAGGAGAGTCACTGTCACTCCTTGAATCTGAGCCATGTCGCCATCTGGAGGCCTCCCGGTGGCTGGTCTGTTCCTCATCTCAGGTCTGCACACTCCTCCACGCCAGCCCCATGCGACCCTGCAGAAAAACTGACAGAGCCCCCCCTTATTTAAATTATTTTTTTGGTTCCAAGGATTGAACCCAGGGGTGCTGAACCCCTGAGCCCCATCCCCAGCCCGTTTTTTATTTTATTTAGAGACAGGGTCTCGCTCAGTTGCTTAAAGCCTCACTGAGTTGCTGAGGCTGGCCTCCACCTCGCGATCCTCCTGCCTCGGCCTCCTGAGCTGCTGGGATGACAGGTGTGCACCACTGCGCCCTGCTTGGCACACCATTTGGAAGTGAATATTTCTTTTTTTAAAATGTCAGAGCAGATCTACAAAACCCGTAAAAGCAGGCGTGATTAATATCTCTGTTGTAGCTAAGGACACTGGGTTACAGAGATTTTTAAAGTGACACTGAATCACACAGAGGCAGAGCGAAGTCCCAAGCCTGGGGTTTCCGCTTCAAGGTCATCTGCCCTTTCCTCTCTGTGAAGTCGTTGGCTAGAGGGCTTCAGTCCTCCTCCTCTGTGGTGAAGTCTGGAGACACCCGATCATCAGGACGGCCGTCTGCCAGACCTGGAGATGCTCTGGGCACAGCACACCCTCTTTGGACTGTGTCTGTGAGGGGTGGTCCCCAGCTCTGGGCCATCACACACTTACTGGGGACGATCACCAAGAGCAATGGGCAGATACCTGTAGAGCCAAGTGGCAGGAGCATCCAAGGAATCCCTCTTACCTACACACTGGAGAAAAAGCAAGCCCTGCAATTTTTATTTTATGCTGGTAATACACAGCAGCCAGGCATGGGGTGGCGCACCCCTGTGATCCCAGCAGCTCAGGAGGCTGAGGCAGGAGGATCGCAAGTTGGAGGCCAGCCTCAGCCCCTTAGCGAGGCCCTAAACAACTCAGGGAGACCCTGTCTCTAAATAAAATAGAAAAAGGGCTGGGGACGGGCCTCTGGGGTTAAGCACCCCTGGGTTCAATCCCTGGTACCAAAAAAAAAAAAATTAAATGCAAATAAAAGAAGAAAATAAATTTACCCATAATCCCATCGCCCATGAATGCTGCCTGTTGGCGTCTCTCTGAGGGTTTCTGTCCCTTGTGGGAAACGTGTCTATAAAATAGGCCCTTAGATACGAGGGCTGCTGTGTGCACGTCTCGGTGGTTCTCCTACATCCTCCTCCCAAGCCAGCAAACACAGCTCTCCAGCCCCAGAATTGTCACAGAAATATCCAGGGCAAGAGGGACTTGTCATCTTGTCCCTTCTTGCAGCTGATCTGCTGCTTCTTTGATTGTTGCCTTGGGGCAGAAGGGAAATTCTATTTTCTGAATGTCTGATTTGGTTTTCTTTTTTGGTACCAGGATTGAACCCAGGGGTCCTCAACCCCTGAGCCCTGTCCCCAGCCCTTTTTACATTTCATTGAGAGACAGGGTCTCACTGAGTTGCTCAGGGCCTCGCTGAGCTGCTGAGGCTGGCCTCCACCTTGCGATCCTCCTGCCTCAGCCTCCTGAGCTGCTGGGATCACAGGTGTGGGCCACCACTCCTGACTTGCCCTCTGTTTTTCATTTATATTTCTTTTTTTCTTTTCTCTTTTGGGCAGCGCTGGGCATGGAACCCAGGGCCTCACGCAAGCCAGGCAGGCGCTCTGCCACCCAGTTAGTCCTCCACCCTTGATGTGTATTTCTTGGATGCCGACTGAGGTTCATACCAAAAAGATCTTCCTGTGCTCCTCCGTTTCTCACAAATCCCCTTTGACTTTTGAGTGGTTTTGCATTATCGCTTGCTTGAATAACTGGCCTGAGACTCACACTCAGGGGACAATTTTCAGCGATTTGACATTAACCTAAAAGGACATTTAAAGTGACCATCCAAGGACTCCAGTCCCCAGATGCCTGTTTAAATTCCCGAGTTGAACGGAGGAGTCGGTTCATTAATATTTCAGCTGGTGCCGAAGGTCATCTGTGAGAGGGTGGCCATCCTGGAGGCCGGGAGCCCGCCCTGCATCCCGCCTCGCCAGCACAAGGGCACGCCTCTCATCCCAGCAATCCGGAGGCTGAGGCAGGAGGATTGCAGGTTGGAGGCCAGCCTCAGCAGCTGGAGGTGGGCTGTGGCTGGAGGAAGAGGGTCCCTGGAGGCAGCACCATTGGGGTGGATATTTGTCTTCTTTTTATCAGTGCATCACAGTAGTGGGACTCTCTGTTCCATATCCAAGACAATTCTGGCCTTTTCTTCTTATGGTGACATGAACTGAACCAAGGGGCACTTTGCCACCAGCCCACGTCCTTAGCTCTTTCATTTTGTGTTTTCAGACAGGGTCTTGCTAAATGGCTGAGGCTGGCCTCCCAAGTCACAGGGATGACAGGTGTGCACCACAGCACCCAGCTATGCACTGAATTTAATTTTTGAATCGATCTATTATAAGGTTCTTACTTATATTGAAGTAAAGAATTTTTATTCTTTTATGTATTTGTTTATGGGTATAATTTCATATTGAATCTGAAATATTAAGATGTTTTCCTTTTTCTTTCTTTCTTTTTTTTTTTTTTTTTTTGGTACCAGAGATTGAACTCAGGGGTACTTAACCACTGAGCCACGTCTCCATATCTTTTTTATGTTTTATTTAGAGTCAGGATATGACTCAGCTGCTTGGGAGGCTGAGGCAGGAGGATCGCAAGGTGGAGGCCAGCCTCAGCAGCTTAGCAAGGCCGCGAGCAACTCAGGGAGACCCTGTCTCTCAATAAAATGTAAAAATGGCTGGGGACATGGCTCAGGGCTCGAGGGCCCCTGGGTTCAATCCCTGGGGCCAAAAACAAGAGCCAGACCCCTGTGTTCTGTGTTCAACCCGCCCTCCTCCCCAGCCTCATTTCCCACTCTCGCCCCACATGACCAAGACTGATGCGTCCCTGTCCCTGTAAGCAGGTGATAACTCTTTCCTGTCGCTCAGTCCCGCTCAGTGGATCCCAGTAAGTCCGTGTTTGAAGAAGCCAACGCACTTTTCCTGTCTCTAGACTACATCTTCCCGGACTTAACGGAGAAGTCGGGTCCCCTGGAGGACACCGACCAGCCCCAGGACCTTCTGGGCCTCCCCTCGTCCTTGCCCAAGATGAACCTGGTGGAGCCTCCCTGGCACATGCCCCTGGAGGAGGAGGAGGAGGAGGAGGAGGAGGAAGAAGAGGAGGAAGAGGAGGAGGAGAGGGAGAAGGAGGAGGTGGAGGAGGAGGAGGAGGAGGAAGAGCAGCTGCTTCCTGTGACGGGACCCCAGGCGGAGGCCACCACACAGGCACCAGACTCTCCCCCCAGGGGCAGCAGCAGCCAGGCTCTGGGGGCCACCAGACCCCGGCAGGAGGACTCTGGGGACCAGGCGTCCTCGGGCGTGGACGTGGAGAGCAGTGCAGAGCCCAGCCTGTCACCGCCCTCTGTCACCCCAAGCACGGTGACCCTGGGGGACCAGGACTTGCCCAGCCAGGAGGACACGGCCACCATGCTGCCAGCAGCAGGACTCGGGGTAGAGTTCAAGGTCCCTCAAGGACCCCGTGAAGAGGCCACAGTGGGGGCCCCCGACTTGGCTGGCCGGCCAGGGGACCTGCCGCCCCTGGCTCCGTCCCTTGCAACCAGAGCCCCAGGCGAGGGTCACCTCGACCCTAGGACCTCAGCCTCTTTCCCACCAGCCCCCCGAGACACGGAGCCGACCCCTTCCCCTGCCACCCTGGGGCCAGACACACTCAGCCAGCAGCCGCAGGAGGGCCCGGTGGCCGGAGCGCCCTCCAGGACCCCCTGGGACTCCACACAGGTGAGGGACGCACACAGGTGGACCTCGGCCACACCCTGCTGGGCCTCCCGCCACCCCGGCTGGTGCAGTGGGGCAGGGCCTGTCAGGTGGGGTTGTCCCCAGAGCCCCAGGGAAGCCTGGGAATGTCGCCACTCCTCACAGCCCAGCCTGGGACATCTGCCACCCTTGAGCACAAAGACCTTGGGAGAGGCTTGGTGGCCCTCCTGGTTCCACCGATCAGGAGGCTGCTGCTGCGCCCGTGGCCTCTGGTGTTGCTCCTCGGAGAAGCTCAGCAGGTGGCCTGCGCCCCTCCACCCCGGGCCCCAACACACACCCACAGTTTCCAGAAGAGAAGGAAGGGGCCAGGTTTTTGGTGGGGGAACCAGGGATTGAACCCAGTGCCCTGGACCCCTGAGCCCCGTCCCCAGCCCTGTTTTGCATTTTATTTAGAGACAGGGTCTCCCTGAGTTGCTTAGGGCCTCACTTTGGCTGAGGCTGGCCTCTAACTGTGATCCTCCTGCCTCAGCCTCCTGAGTCACTGGGATGACAGGCGGCCCCACTGCGCCCAGCAGGGGTCTGTTGTAGGCAGCTGTTTTGCTGCTGTGACTTAAGATCCCACTAGCACAACTGCAGAGGGGGACCGTGGACGTGGGGCTTAGGGTGTCCACAGACGGCGGCCCCACTCCTGGGCGAGGGGAGGCAGGACATCATGGAGGAAGAGTGTGGGGAGGGAGCAGCTCCCATGGGGACCAGGGAGCAGGGACTCCACTCTCCAGGGACAAATAGAGACCCCAAGCCACAGGCCCAGGGCCACCTCTTCCCCATACCCCACCTGGGGCCACCAGGGGACCCCCAGGGAGCCATTCAGTGCTGGGGTTCAGCCCTCACACCCCCCACTCCTCCTCTGCACCTCCCTGCATCACCTCCCACGGGGTCTCTGGGGACATGTCACAGCCACACCAGGACAGGGTCTGCCTGTGACCCACGGACCCCGGCAACCTGCCCCCAGTCTCTGAACAGGGCCCCGCAGCCCGGCCCCAGGGACAGTCCCCCTTTTCTCTGAGGCGCCCTCAGCGTGGTCCCTGAAGCCACCTGGGTTTGTGGCTCCTGGGCAGAACCAGTGGCCTGTCACCTTGTAGAGGTCGCCCGTCCCACTTGGCTCCGCAGACCCGCAGGGGCCGGCGTCTTCCAGCTTCCCACAGGGTGTCAGGTCTCTGTCCCCGGGGACCCCTCCTGACTGCGGCCACCCTCTTTCCGTCTCCTGGTCCAGGTCATCTGCAAGGACTGGAGCAACCTGGCCGGGAAGAACTACATCATCCTGAACATGACCGAGAACGTGGACTGTGTGAGTGCCCGGCCAGCGCATGCGCAGAGCGCGGCGGGGTCCCAGGGCCAGCCTGACCCCAGGACCATCAGCCCCGGCAACGTTACAAACCCCCAGACAAGGACAAAACCGACTGGGAGGGAGGGAGGGAAGGAGACAGGATGCTTTTTGCATTTTAAGTTTTCTAAGGGGTCTTTCATTTTCTCCCTTTTGAATTTAGGGGCCCTCGACCCCTGAGCCCAGTCCCCAGCCCCTTTTTATATCTTATTTAGAGACAGGGCCTCGGTAAGTTGCTGAGGGCCTCGCTAAGTTGCTGAGGCTGGCCTCCAACTTGCGATCCTCCTGCCTCAGCCTCCTGAGTCACTGGGATCACAGCTACTGCACCCAAAGGCTTCCTTATCATTGGCTCTGGGCACCCATATTGAGAACAGAGTTGTCCCACTCTTGAAAGGCAGCACTTTGTCACCTTTGGTGGCTTGGAGACGAGGGCTGGCCGGGGCTCCCCTCGGGTGGCCAGGGGAGTGGCTCTGCCTCCCCAGCAGCCCTGGCTGACCTGTCCGTGGCAGGGCACCCAAGTTGAGCTGAGCTGCCCGAGGGGGGTGGCCGACTTTAGAGGCTGGGAACGTGGGTGTAGCTACTTTGCACATCCAGGAAGAAGAGGAGCTGGAGGGCCTAGTGGCCCTGGGACCAAAGGAGGGTCTCTTCCCCGATGTGACTTGGTGATCTGTGTGCCAAGAGGCCTCCAGCCCCAGCCTGGGCCCCTGCCACCAGGTTCCTCTTTAGGACCAGACCCTTGTTTTCATTTCACATGGCGTGACCGTGCCTGGGCCTGGTCAAGGACACGGACCGCTGTGCAGAGCGCCCAGTGGGCAGAAGTCCGACCTCCAGCACCTCCGCCCTGTCCCCAGGTCCAGGGGCCACTGAGCCGTCTGTCTCTTGAGGACACCAGCATAAGAGCACGCGGTGGCTCTTTTCATTACCACCACAGGCCAGATCTCTGCGGTGGCAGAGGGGAGACGGGCCCTGTCACCACTCCTCCAGTGGCTGCACTGATGTGCGTCCTTACCGTCCCCAACCCTCTCTGTACCCCATGCCCGACCCCATTGTGCTCTGACCCCAGGCCCGAGGAGCAGCCACCTGTCCCCTGTTCTCCCAGCTCCACTGGGGGCTAGAGAGGCGGCCCCACCCCTTCCTCACCTAGAGCGGCCAGAGCAGAAGGGACAGCGTCCTCCTGTCCCACCCCGCAGCCCGGCTCCGGCTCACAGGTGGTCCCCAGAGCTGGTCAGAGGAGCCCGAGGGTCTTTCTCAGCCTTTGGCCACGGAGCGCAGGGTGACATGGGCCTGTCCCTCCCTGAGCCGGGCCTCTGACCTTGCAGGAGGTGTTCCGGCGCCACCGAGGGCTCCAGCTGGTGGCCCTGGTGGAGGAGGTGCTGCCCCGCCACCGCAGCGGCCGTCACGGGGACTGGCACATCTCCCTGAGCAAGCCCAGCGAGAAGGAGCAGCACCTCCTCATGGCGCTGGTGGGCGAGCAGGGTGAGGACGGCGGGCGGCCGGGGTCCCCAGGACAGCACACCTCCTGGCCGCAGGCTCCAGGCCACCCGATAAGCTTGGGTTGGGGGACAGAGGTGGAGGGCGCAGGGGCAGGACGCAAGGAAACGCGTTCCAGCCCAGGTGGGACGCCACCGTGTGGCAGGAGGGAGGGGCTGCAGAGGTGACGTCCGGCCACACCTGTTACCTGGTCACCCACCCGGTCAGCTGGACGGACAGGGAGCCGAGGACGCAGAGAGGGCGCGCCCCTTTCCGCAGGCGCTGGTGGTGCGCGCTTGCGCCTATGCGCCCCGAGGATCTGGGTGTCATTACAGCCCAAAAGTGGGGTTGAAGGGGCTCAGGCCAGTGGTCCCAGAGGGGGTCTAGGTCTAGGGACCCCCGGAGGGGCCGCAGGGGCCATGGCCGTGCTGATGGGGGCCTTTCTCCTCCCAGGGGTGGTGCCCACTCAAGATGTCCTCTCCATGCTGGGTGACATCCGTAGGAGCCTGGAGGAGGTAAGGGTACAGGGACTTGGATCCCCGAGCTGCTCCCGTCTGTCCCTCAAGCTCTGGGGACAGCTGGCTTCCCTGAGGGCCCCACAGCACGTGGGTCAAGGAAGCCCAAACAGACCGGGGTCTGGGCAGGGTGAGGCCTCGTGAGCCTGGGGGCCCTTCCCAACCAGGCCCCGGGGAAGGGGCCTGGGGTCCTGGAAAGGGGGAGTCAGGGAAGGGCCTGGAGAAGAGGGGGGGGAATAAACAGGGAACAGCAGGACCCCCGTAGCACCTGGAGGAGGGAGCGTGACAGGTTCTAGAAACCTCAAGAATGTTCTGGAAGCCTGGGTATGCCTCAGGAGCCACCAGCCCAGTACCTCCAAATGGGCAGCCGCCATTGGTCCTCCCGCTGGGGACGTGGGGTGCCAGACATGGATGCCACCTTGGGTGCTGAATGCCTGGGGCCTCCTGGGGAGACCTGGGCGGAAGGACAGACAGCAGCCTGTCCCCAGCTGCTGGACCAGCCCGGGGAAGCCGAGGTCCCCGGTCTCCTTACCTACTTCCGCAACGGGCAGGACCCTGCATTCCCCCCCCCCCCCCCTCGTGGAACCCAATGACGTGTTGTCAGTCCCCTTCATTCTTGAGCTCTGCAATATGTGACAGTAGATACGAACGTGTGACCCTGGGCCACATCCCTATCTGTCACATGCAAGGGGACCCTGTTTCCGTGCTGGTGTTTTATCTTGGTAAACACAGTGCTCACTCGGGGCCAGACCTGGGTGCTCTCACTTAGTCCTCGGTGCTCCCCCCCCCCCAGGCTGTCAGGATTAAACAGGGCACCCTCTGGGTGACACACACTCCATAGGCAAGTGACCTCACACCCAGAGAAGTGAGGTCACTTGCCTATCGAGTTCTTGCCTATCGAGATCTTCCCCAGTTCTGCGATCCTGGGCTCGGGGACACTGTGGTGGGGACAGTGGAGGCCTCAGCTGGCCTTGGCCTCCTGCACCTGCCTCCCTCCCCCTGGGCACTCTGTCCTCATGGCCCCTGATGCAGCTGGACTGGGCCCCACGACATGCCGGGTCTCTGCAAGGATGTAAGCACACGAGTTGAGCAAGGACACTGGCAGGTGGTTCTAGCAAGACAAACTGACCCTTGTTAACCGAAAGTCCCCAAAACGTGCAGATGGGTCACAGAAACGGCAAGAATTAAAATCCCGGTGCACCCAGGCCTGCCACACAGCCACCTGGCATCACTGCCCTCGGGGCTCAGCCCCAGGGCACAGCAGCCTCCTGGCAGACAGGACAGGCCTGGGACAGACCACCGGCTGCGTGCTTGTCACCATGTCGTCAGTGACACTCCAACAGGAACTACCCGGAGCACCCAGCACTGTCCCAGGGACGTGAAGCTGGCTGGCCCATAATGACCAGAACATACCAGAATCCCCCCACACCCTCTGCAAGGTGGGAGCCTGTAGCCCCCAGTCCCCAGCGAGCACAGGTGCCTGTCCCCAGCCCAGTCCCAAGCTCCAGCAGCGCCCCCCCAGGTCCTGAGCCGCGGACCCCGGCCCCTCCCCCCCAGATTGGCATTCAGAACTACTCCACGACAAGTAGCTGCCAGGCGCGGGCCACCCAGGTGCGCAGTGACTACGGGACGCTCTTTGTGGTGCTGGTGATCATCGGGGTCATCTGCTTCGTCATCATCGTGCTCGGCCTGCTCTACAACTGCTGGCAGCGCCGGCTGCCCAAGCTCAAGCACGTGGTGAGCCCAGGGGACAGGGACAGGACGAGGCTGGGCCCGGGAGGGAGCCGGTGGAGAAGGACCAGACGCGGTGCCCGCGCCTTAGGCATGGTGTGGTGGTGGCCGAGTGTCCCGGGTGCACAGGGCTGTGCCGAGGACCACACGGGCACTGCGGGAGGGGGATGTGTCCTCATCCTTGGGGTCCCACCTGGGTCCCAGCTCCTACCCCAAGCGTGGCACTGCAGGGTCCGTGGCAGAGCCAGGCCCCGGGCCCGGCGCTGCGCAGGCGCCAAGCGGAGGTTTCCCAAGAGCAAGGCCCGGGTCAAAGCCCACCGAAGCGCGCGCTTTGACTTTGACTTGCAAAGTGTGTTGGAAGGGATCGCATGACCCCAGGGAGGCGACAGGGTGTCCTAGTGCGAAGGATCATTCAGGAGCTCAGCGTGGCACCAGAAAAGTGGGAGCATGCCAGCTTCAGGGGGTCCCCTGGGGGTGCCCCGTCGGGTCTTACTAAGCCCCGGGGCTGTTCGGCGGGGCTGTTCGGCGGGCCGGGGGACGGAGCCCGCGCCCAGCGCCCTCTCCCACCGCTGCAGTCGCACGGCGAGGAGCTGCGCTTCGTAGAGAACGGCTGCCACGACAACCCCACGCTGGACGTGGCCAGCGACAGCCAGTCGGAGATGCAGGAGAAGCAGCCGAGCCTGAACGGCGGCGGGGCCATCAACGGCCCGGGGAGCTGGAGCGCGCTCATGGGGGGCAAGCGGGACCCCGAGGACTCGGACGTGTTCGAGGAGGACACGCACCTGTGAGCGCGGGCCTGCGAGCCGGGCCGGGGCCTCGCGCCCGCCGGGGGCCGCGCCGGGATCGAGCAGCGCGGCCCCGAAGCAGACCGCCGCGGAGCCCGCACGCGCCCGCGCCCCCTCCCCGGACCGCGACCCGCGGCCAGGCCCTCGACGCGGGGCTGCTCCCCGCTTCCCCCGACTCCACACCGCGACCTCGGCACAGCGACCCCTCTCCCGGCCCCGCGAACCCCGGCCCGCGGGCGGCGGGCGGCGCTCTGAGCGCTCCGCCCGGGACTTCATTAAACCCGCCCGGGGACTGCCGGGCCGCCAGTCCGCTGCTCGCCTGTTCTTACTTCCGGGAGGCGGGGCCTGGGGGCGTGTTCGAGGGCGGGGCCGGGTGTCACCGTTGACTGTGGGGAGAGGCGGAGCCTGCGGCGGGGCGGGGCCGGACGTCATTGTTGGCGGGGGAAAGAGGCGGGGCCTGCGCAGCTGCGGGGCGGGGGTGGGACCGGGCGTCGCTGGGGGGGCGGGGCGGGGGCGGGACCGGGCGTCGCTGGGGGGCGGGGCCTGCGCCGCTGCGGGGCGGGGCGGCGCATGTTTACGTCCCGCCGGGCGCGCCGCGTCGCCGCCTGAGGTTGTTCGGCCGGGGTCCGAGCTTCTCGCACCATGGACACCAGCGACCTGTTCGCCAGCTGCAGGAAAGGGGACGTGGGCCGCGTGCGGTGAGGACCCGCGGTCCCGGGAGGGCGCAGGGGGAGTGCCCCGGCCGGCGGGCGTGCAGCGGCTCTCAGCTCCCACCCGCGGAGCGCCGGGGCGGATTCGCAGCCCGAGGGCTCCCTGGAGGAGGGCACCCTGCCACCCAGTAGCGCCGGATGCGGACCCCGGGGCAGGCTGGGACCCCTTCGTGGCTCCTTTCTCGTATCTGACGCTGCGGACCGGACCGCGGTCCCCTGGGAGGCAGAGGCTCCCGGTGCAGCTCGCGCCAGCTCCAGGGGCCCGACGGGGAGGCCAGGGGCGCCCCGTTGGGACCCGGGCACCCCTCTTCCTTGGTCCTCCCTCGCCCGGGACTTCTGACACCCCCTCCCCCAGCTGATCCCAGGTTGTGGCACTCTGGCAAAGCCTCGCGGGGCCCTCCCCGACTTCAGGTGGCACCCAGGAGGGGTGGATAAGCCGCGGAGCTGAGTGGACTCAGCCTTCCCGGGTCTCTCCCTGGCCGTCTCCGGGCTGCCTGTCCGCCCAGAGCTGGCGCATCACCCCCTCTCTCACTTTCTCTCCCGGGTCACCTACCATGTCCCACGTGTGCCCTTTTAGATCGGCGCCCCTGTCCCTGTCCCTGATGCCTGAGCTGCGTCGTTCCCCCTGCCTCTAGCAGAACCAGCCTACTGCCCCCCAAAGCCGGAGGGCTCTGGCTGAAATAGGGGCCCCCTCAACTCTCTCCCAAGTGCAGGAAGCTCAGCGTCCCATCCTTCTCCCCTCCCGGGCCTGGCCTCTGCACCCAGGATTCCCCGCCACACCTGATGCTTAGTGTCCAGCTCTTCTTGTCTACTTGTCCTCAAAAGCCTTCCTCCCTGTGGTCTGCCCTGGTCTAGGGGAGGCTCCCCCAGCTCAAAAGCAGGTTTTGAGCCTCCTTCCGCAGACTATGACCGTTCTGACCCCGACTCTGTCCTCCTTCCTACCAGGTACCTGCTAGAGCAGCGAGACGTGGAGGTAAACGTTCGCGACAAGTGGGACAGCACCCCCTTGTGAGTGCCAGGCTGGTGGGGTGGTCTGGACGGGCATGGCGGGCCCCTGCGCCTCTGGCCGCTGCATTCCCATCCTTCCTCCCCTCAGATACTATGCCTGCCTCTGTGGGCATGAAGAGTTGGTCCTCTACCTTCTGGCCAATGGTGAGAGAAGGAGCCCACCAGGGACATGTAACTATCGCTTATGAACCTGTGCATTGTCCTTGGGCCCCACTAGAGTGTAAATTCAATGGGCTCAGGGGCCTTTTTTTTGGGGGGGGGGGGGGCTGTGTCCTTTATAGCCAGCCACAGAGTTGTGGGTACAGTCTATACTGCAGATCTGGGTGTATATGTCTACCTGCCTTGCCCGGTACCTTGCAGGGAAGATACTGCGGTCAGAGTGGACCCAGGGTAACTTGGGAAGGGGGCGTCAGGGCTTATGAGTTGTACAGGTGGAGCGGTAAGCAGGAGGGGCGGGAGATTCAGATTTCCGTTAGGCTCCAACCCACTGATAGCCGAGCCCTGCTGCCCTAGGAGCCCGCTGCGAGGCCAATACCTTTGATGGCGAGCGCTGCCTCTATGGGGCACTGAGCGACCCCATCCGCCGGGCTCTGCGGGATTACAAGCAGGTCACGGCCTCCTGCAGGCGCCGGGATTACTATGATGACTTCTTGCAGAGGTGAGCTGGGCCCTGGGCACCAGGTGATGCGCAGAGGGCGGGGCTTGCATGCGCTGGGCATGCGCAGTTGGGCGCACACTGGGCTAGGCGCCATGATCTGAGCCGTCCAGTGAGTGTCGCTGTTGCCCGGTGTCCGCAGGCTCCTGGAGCAGGGCATCCACAGTGACGTGGTCTTCGTGATTCACGGAAAGTCCTTCCGCGCGCATCGCTGCGTCCTGGGGGCGCGCAGTGCCTACTTCGCCAACATGCTGGACACCAAGTGGAAGGGCCGGAGCGTCGTGGCGCTGCGGCATCCACTGGTGCGCCCCGTCGGGGGGGGGGGGGGGGGGTCCAGGGGCCCGAACAGCCGCGCATGCGCTGATCGCTGATCACCTGCCCCGGGACCGGCCGCGCATGCGCTGATCGCTGATCGCCTGCCCAGGGAACGGCCGCGCATGCGCTGATCGCTGATCGGCTGCCTCTGACCGTCGTGCCCCGTGGTCTCTGTGTCCCACAGATCAACCCGGTGGCGTTCGGAGCCCTGCTGCAGTACCTGTACACAGGTGACTCCATGCTCAGGTGCGGTGGGCGGGGCGAGGGCCACCTCGCTGGACAGCCAAGTGACCTTGCACCTCTAGGCCCTCGTCCCTGCCAAGGTGCCTTCTCGGGTGGGGCGTGGGCAGTGGCCTGGCCTGCCCGCTGGGCACCTGTGGCTGTCCCCTCCCCTCAGTCCCGCGCCAGGCCACCACCTAGGGCGCTCCTTTGGGGCACGGGATGTCCCCGAGGGCCCCTCCAGGCCCTGATCGGTCCCCCCCGTGCCCAGGCCGCTTGGACATCGGAGTGGAGCACGTCAGCGACTGCGAGCGCCTGGCCAAGCAGTGCCAGCTGTGGGACCTGCTGGGCGACCTGGAGGCCAAGTGCGAGAAGGTGTCGGAATTCGGTGCGTCGCGGGGCTCTGGGCGCAGGGCTCCGGGTGGCGCCGCAGGGTCGGCCCGGCCCTGATGGCGTCTCGCTCCGCAGTGGCCTCCAAGCCCGGCACGTGCGTCAAGGTGTTGACCATCGAGCCCCCGCCCGCCGACCCCCGGCTCCGGGAGGACCTGGCGCTGCTGGCCGACTGCGCGCTGCCCCCCGAGCTACGGGTGAGCGCGCTGCAGGTGGCCCTGCCCCGCCCCGGGCTCCCCGCCGGGGCCACCCCTGCCCTTCTGAGCGCCGATGGGTCCCTCTCCCGTGTCCCAGGGCGACCTCGGGGAGCTGCCCTTCCCCTGCCCCGACGGCTTCAACAGCTGCCCAGATGTCTGCTTCCGCGTGGCCGGCTGCAGCTTCCTGTGCCACAAGGTACCTGTGCCCCGGTCGCCCGCCCTGCCCCGGCCCCTGCCCCTGCCCGGCCCCCGCTGAGCCCGGCCTCCCCCAGGCCTTCTTCTGCGGCCGCAGTGACTACTTCCGGGCCCTGCTCGAGGACCACTTCCGAGAGAACGAGGAGCCTGCGGCCTCTGGGGACCCCCCGGTTGTCACCCTGCAAGGCATCTCCCCCGAGGTCTTCACGCACGTGCTCTACTACGTGTACAGCGACCGCACCGAGGTGCGCCGCGGCTGGGCGACGTCGGGGGAGCGGGGGCGACGTGGGGGGGAAGATACTGCGGTCAGAGTGGACCCAGGGTAACTTGGGAAGGGGGCGTCAGAGGGTGACATCGGGGGTCGACATGGGGGGAAGACGTGGAGGGGTGACGTGGGGGGGGAAGACGTTGGGGGGGAGATGTGGGGGTGCGATGTCGGGGGGCTTCATAGGGGGTGACGTCGTCGGGGGGCCAGGGTGGGGGGGGCGCTGTGCCTTTTGGACAGAGGGGCCCTGGTGGCTTCCGACCAACAACAGGAGACAGATTCCGGTCCTTGGGGGCATTGGGTCAACTCCTCACGATCCCCAGTTGCTCCAGCGGATAGGGTGCTGTGGGGACTGTAACCCTATGTCCTTAAGGGTCCCGACCCTCCTGCCCACCCAGGGCCACAGACTCCTGGGGTCCTGGGCTCTCCTGTCACTTCCTCCCCTGGTGCCTCCCTCTGCCCTCAGTTACCCTGAGGCATCGCCAGCGTGAGGCCTCCCGGTTGGCAGTGGGTGCTGTTGGCCGTCCCCCTGGTGGGGTGTCTGAGGGTGTGATGGCCGCGGTGCTGTCACTGGGCATTCAAAACAGGCCAGCTCCAAGGCTGGTTTGACTCTGGATCAGCTTAGCCGGGTGCACAGCGCCCACTTGTCATCTCAGTGGCTCAGGAGGCTGAGGCAGGAGGATCTCCTGTTGGAGGCCAGCCTCAGCAACTAGTGAGGCCCTGACTCAAAATACAAAGAGGGCTGGGGACTGGGCTCAGTGGTTGAGCACCCTTGGGTTCAGTCCCCGGCACCAAAAAAAGAACCCCACACAAGCTCCAAGCTTGTTTCTGGTTAGGATCTGAGGCGAGTGTCCCAGGGCAGGTGGCTTGCTGGGGACCCAGGTTGTCTTCTCCCTCTTGCTTCCCTGCCACCCCTAAGGGGACCTCAGACCTTCCTTCTGTAGGTGACTATTTCAGGCTCTCAAAGCCAGGCGGTCTCTCTCAGCTACTTGGCTCTAGCACAGCAGAAGCCATTGCATTCCCAGGCTGAGGGCCTGTGTTCCAATAAAACTTTATTTACACCCACGGCCCCCAGGCTGAGGCTCACCCACCTGCCCAGGGCGTCACCTTCTGCTTACAGAAGTTGAGCCACAGGCAACTTCCTGATGTCGGAGGAAGAGGAAGATGGGGGCGAGTGGTTTCCTTTTCCAGGAATCACTAAAAGTTGCACCTGTCAGTTCTCACGCTCCCCCGGAGATTGCTTAGTGACCACACTTGCCAATGAGGGAGGCTGGGAAACAGTCCCTGTCACTTTAAGAAGGGGAGAAGAAGCCGGGCGCGGTGCCCCCGCCTGTCATTCCAGGGGCTCGGGAGGCTGAGGCAGGAGGATCACAAGTTGGAGGCCAGCCTCAGCAATTCAGTGAAGCCCTCAGCAACCTCGTGAGACCCTGTCTCTAAATAAAATATAAAAAGGGCTGGGGACAGGGCTCAATGGTAGGTTTAGCACCCCTGGGTTCAGTCCCTGGCACCAAAAGGGGGGTGTGTGAGGCATTCTGGGGGACAGATGGCAGTCTCCATTGCAGCACCCAGCTGGAAAGAGCTTTTAGCTGCCTCCTGTCTCCCACAATCCCAGGCCTGGAGGCCTCTGCTCAGACTCCTTCCCATGCTCAGCCTCTACCTGGCTCCTCGGGCCTCCCTTCCTCCTTCTCTACTTCATTTTTTCCTATCCTGCAGCTTGGCCCAGCCCCCTGGCCCTGCCCTGGGGGTATATCCTGAAGACACTCCTTACTGAAGGAGCTTTGGGTCCCAAGGCCACCTTCTTGACAGCTCACAGCGGGAATTGGTTTGACACTGGACCAGCCCCCGTGAGCTGTGTGATCTCACCCAAGTTACTTAACTTCTCTGTGTCTCCGTGATCCCCTCTGGAAGCACCTGGGATAATGCCTGCCTTTACTCCCTCAGGTCTTGGGCAAACGCGCATGTCACGGCTGGCCAAGCAGGTAGCACGGTACCTGGCCTGGCACAGGGCCTGCAGCCTGACACTAGTCGGACACCTAGCCTTCCCCTGCCAGGGACAGAGCCCTGGGTTGCTCCCAAGTCCCCACAGGCAGTTCCTCCCGACACCCCACCCCCCGCCTCTCAGGAGCCACATTCCCCCTTGGCAGGGTCCCTGCCTTCGCCTCCAGCAGCCACCTTCTCTGTACCTGCCCTGACGGCCTTACCCAAACAAGCAAACGGGCACAGAGAAGTTAAGTGACCTGCCCAGGGTCACACAGCTAGAAGTAGCACAGTCCACCCAGGTCTGTGCGATTGGGGGCTCAGCCAAGACACGCAGGGGGGGACCCCTTCAGTTCTCTTCTGTCCCTGTGTCCCCACGGGTGGGGATCTGGGCCAGGCTTAAGAGCCTGAGTGGCCTCTGCTCCCTGGAATGCCCCGCCCTCCCCACGCAGGTCTGAGCGCGGCCACAGGTGACCTGGGGCTGCGCCGTGGCCCCTTCTTTTCCGCAGCTGCCCCCCGAGGCGGCCTATGACGTGCTGAGTGTGGCGGACATGTACCTGCTGCCGGGCCTCAAGAGGCTGTGTGGCCGCAGCCTGGCCCAGCTGCTGGACGAGGACAGCGTGGTGGGCGTGTGGCGCGTGGCCAAGCTGTTCCGCCTGGCGCGGCTGGAGGACCAGTGCACGGAGTTCATGGCCAAGGTCATCGAGAAGGTGGGCGGCGGGCAAGTGGGCGTGGCGGCAGGGAAGTGGGCGTGGTGGTGGGGGGGGTGGACAGGTGGATGGGGCAGGGCGGTGGGCGTGGTGGCGGGTAGGTGGGTGTGACTGGGAAGTGGGCGTGGCAGCAGGGAGGTGGGCGGAGTGGGGGGGCTGTGGGGGAGTACGTGGGTAGGTGGGCGTGACCGAGAGGTAGGCGTGGTGGGCATGACCAGGTGGGCGTGGTGACGGGCATGTGGGTGGGGCTGTGGGCGGGCAGGTGGGCGTGACCGGGAGGTAGGCATAGCAGCAGGGAGGTGGGCGGGGCGGCGGGGGGGGGGGGGGGACGGCAGGCAGGTGGTGGTGCTCTGGGCCAGGAGGTGGGTAGGTGGGTGTGACCGAGAGGTAGGCGTGGCGGCAGGCAGGTGGCAGGGTGGCGGGGAGGTAGGCGTGGTGATGGGCAGGCTGGCGGGCAGGTGGGCGGGGCGGCGGGCAGGTGGGCGGGGCGGTGGGCAGGTGGGGGGCGGGGGGGGGGGGTGGGAGGGGGGGGGGGGGCGGGGTTACAGGCGGGTGGGCGTGGTTACAGGCGGGTGGGCGTGGTTACGGGCGGGTGGGCGTGGCACCCGGTGTCCACAACCCGCTGAGCCCGCCTGTCCTGCAGCTTGTGGAGCGGGAGGACTTCGTGGAGGCCGTGAGGGAGGAGGCCGCGGCCGTGGCCTCCCGGCAGGAGACGGACTCCATCCCCCTGGTGGACGACATCCGCTTCCACGTGGCCAGCACCGTGCAGACCTACAGCGCCATCGAGGAGGCCCAGCAGCGGCTGCGGGCCCTGGAGGACCTGCTGGTGTCTATTGGCTTGGACTGTTGAGGCCAGGCCTGTGACCGGGCAGGCCTCCAGATTGGGCCTCCCTCGGGCACGGGCGTGCGTGTGCGTCTGCGCGTGGAGTCTTCTTGCTCCTTGCGCACTGAGAGCATCAGGGTGGGCGGAGGGGGCTCGCTGGCCCACCCAGGACCTGGGGAACCCTGGGGGGAGGGTCTCCATGGCCACAGCCACCTCCTCCCCAATGCACAAACCAGCTTCCAGGACCCCGGGCTGGGCACCACTCAGGAAAAGCCGGGGCAGGGGACTCTGGCCTCTCGGGGCCTCCCTCCCCGGGCATCCGGCCCTGGCCCAGCCCGGTCCTGGCTTGCTTTGACCCTTCCCGCGTGTGGGGCCGGGCGGGAGGGCGGGGCAGCCTGTGTGGTAATAAAGAGTGGCTTCGCGGCAGGTCCCCAGCCTGTGTCAGGGGACAGCTTGGGGAGGGTGGGGGTGGGGGGGCAGCAGAAGTGGGGCCCAGTGCAGAGGCTGGCCAGAGGCTCAAAGCCGACCTGGACGTCTCTGTGGGCCTCAGGCCTCCTTGGCCCTGTCTCTGCCTCCATTTCCTGCCTCCATTGGCCTCTGGCCTCTGACTGTGGTGGGCCTCTTTGGGCCTCCTTCCAGGAGGATCATTTTCTCTCAGCCTAGACCCCATCTCCTCTCCAGGGAGCCCCTTGTGGCCCTTCCTACAAGGACTGTGACATTTTAGTCTGATGGCAAAACATTTCCTGTGCGAAGCTGTCCAGGGCCCCAGAAGGTAGTGGGCCATGGGGAAGGAAATGAGGGGGTCAATATGGCGGAACTTCCTGTGGCCACAGAGCCCTCAGTGAGGCCTCTGAGTCCACGAGGCTACTCAGGCTGCACGGTGTGGGGTGAGGGGGCCCAGGGACACAGGACGAGCTGCGGCATTGAGAGGATTTCTGCTTAGTTTCTATAATGTGGATTTTAGGGTTTCAAAACCACATCTGACCCTCATTTAACTTTTTTGGGGGGAGGAGGAAGATACTAGGGATTTAATCCAGGGGTGCTGGGGTGCTCTACCACTGAGCCACAACCCCAGCTCACCACCACCCCCCCTCCCTTTGTTTGAGGTAGGGTCTCAGTAAATTGCTGAGGCTGGCCTCCAACCTGTGATCCTCCTGCCTCAGCCTCCCCTGTTGTGAGGGTTATAGGTCAGGGCCACCCTGTCTGGTTTCACTGCGCCTTCTATCCCGAGTGAAAAGATTTCACAGGTATAAAAATATAAAATATTTATAAAATAAAATAAATATAAAAATAAATCAAGGGGCTGGGGTTGTGGCTCAGTGGTAGAGCACTCACCGAGCATGCACGAGGCCCTGGGTTTGACCCTCAGCACCACATAAATGTAAAATAAAGAGATTGTGTCTACCTAAAGCCAAAAAATAAAAATATTAAAATAAAATAAAAAATCAGTGGAAAAAAGGCAAATAAAAAGCTGAAGAAATAAAGTCTGGCACTAAAATGCAAGGAGGGCTTCTCAAGAAGGGGATCTGGAATGATCAGAGCAGGGGGGACCAAGACAGTGACGCGCAGGTGGGGCCCATGCAGACAGAGGGTCTGTTGAGACACAAGTGGGCCAGGTGCTGTGGCCCACACCTGTCACCGCAGAGACTCGGGAGGCTGAGGCAGGAGGATCGCGAGTTGGAGGCCAGCCTCAGCCACTTAGGGAGGTCCTGAGCAACTCAGCGAGACCCTGTCTCTAAATAAGATCTGAAAGGGTGACTTGAAGTCAACATGAATCAATAGAACTGTCCCTGCGTTTGGGTACAAGTTGATATCTGGTGTGCCCTGTGATTTTTTTTTTGTTGTTCACATTCATTTTGATTTTTAAAACTATGAGCTTAAAATATCGCTTCTCTTGATAGTGAAGGTTCTTGATGATGAAGGTGCTTGGTCCTCCCTTGAACCTCGTGTCCCCAGTGAGTCCCTCAGTGCCTTGCCCAGCCCTGCCCTGAGTTGTAGTCTCTAAGTGCATAATAATAATTCATTTTTCCACCATCCTATAATTTCTTTTTTTGCATATGCTTTTTCTCTGCTGAGAAAACTCCTACGTAACCCTCAATACCCCTCGAGCTGAGCAGACGAAAGATCAAAGGCAGGGCTCAGGCTGCGGCCTGCACACGGGGGTTGGAGGAAGAGGGTCGGGTGTTCTAGCTGGGATCAGGGACAGCAGTGGTCCCTGGGGCAGGAACGTGTCACTTGGGAAGAAGCGGAAGTACCCTGAGAGGTCTTTATATTTTGAGCACCAGAGGGGACATCCTGGCTGGACTTCTCAGATTCTCTCTTCAGGGCCCCAGACCAAGTGGCTTGCAAAACATGAACCTGATGCAAGATGTGAAGTTGTGTCACCGCCCTGACCCACGGCTGGCTCAGTCCCCGTCACTCTGCAAGATGGAACGCCCAGATCGAGAGGTCTGCATTGTCCCCTTGAATGTGTCTCTGCTTTCCTTCTTTTTGGTCCCAGGGATTGATCCCAGGGGTGCTGAACCCCTGAGCCCCGTCCCCAGCCCTTTTAACTTTTTATTTAGACACAGGGTCTCACTGAGTTGCTCAGGGCCTCGCCAAGTGGCTGAGGCCGGCCTCCACCTTGTGATCCTCCTGCCTCAGCCTCCGGAGCTGCTGGGATGACAGGTGTGCGCCCCGTGCCCAGCTCGCTTATGTTTTAACGGTCTCTCTGGCTGTTTGGGGGACAACGGACTCCCTGAGGCCAGCTGGGGTGGGGTCGGGGGACCGCTCCTTCAGAGCAAGGGCCGCAGGGGAGCAGGACAGTCTGACCCTGGCCAAGCTCTGGAGGCCACCCACCCACGGAACCCAGAGTGCTGGAGTGTGCATCAGGCGACCAACCCGACACGGCAGGGCTCACCCAGGACTCCACTGTCCCTCCCAAAAGGGTCCCGGGGCCCCCTCTAAGGGAGGCCTGTCACGTGGGACAGACAGACAGACAGCGTTCAGAAAACATCTGGTTTATTAGGGTTAGCGGTAGCGTACATGGGTTCCTTTAAGAGTTCCAGGCCAATCCATGTTCCCCACTAACAGTACACGGGAGGGATGTGACTTGAGCCGCGGTGACAATGACATACCCGTCCATGGCTTGGAAGATGACCGGGATCCTAATGGATGGATGGAGGCCATCGGCGGCCAGAGGAAGGAAAGCTACTGAGAGACGGTGGGGCCTGGAGGTGGCATGCGGCCAGAGACCTCTGGGGGGGTCCAGAGCGTCCTGAGGGTGGTGGCCCCTGGAACCTTCTAGAAGGTGACGGGGAGCCGGGGTCCGAGGGAGGCTGCCCAGCCCACCCGTCCTCTCTGCCAAGGGACTGGGGCGTTGTGGGCTGCTGCCCATTTCCTTGCTACCTGCAGAGGGTGACCTTTTCCTAAAAAACATTTTCAGGCCCCAAACCCAGTTCCCTATGGAGGCCCGTGACCTTGGAGGCCCGTGACCTTGGAGGCCCTGGGGACCATCCCACTCGGGATCAGCGCTGGGCCTAATGTCCAGGCAGGGTTTGGACCAGCTGCATCCTGGGGTCCCCTCCTGGGCTCTGCCCTCCTCTCACCCCTCAAGGCCAAGCCCTGGGGGACCCCGGGGGGACCCAGTATCCCTTCCAACCCCAAGTGCCTCCACGCCGCGGTCCAGGGCAGGACCCTGAGGGCCAGAATGTCACCACGGAGCTGTCTATGCCGATAGTGACCCTGGTTCTAGGCTGGCCCGGATTTTTGAAAGACAGAGGGGCACCCAGCATGGGGCACTTCCAGATGTGGCTGATGTGCCACGGATCGAGCCACAGAGGAGGCACGTCCGTGTCCCCTGTCCCCTGTCCCCTCTTCCAGGGTTCACAAGATGGTCCCTCATTTCGGGTCATTTTTTTCTCTCTGGAATATTAGTAACTCATGAACAAGACACATAAGTGGGCCCCCCTTGGTGACTCTGTCAGGGCTTCTATGGAAGGACATCCAGGCGTCCAGGGGGAGCCTCCCGCCCCCCCCCCAAGAAGGACAGGGCACTCCCGCCACCCCCAAAGAAGAAGGGTCTGAGCCCCCCAGATTCTGAGCTTCCATATTGGGGATCCTGGCAGGAGGAGCATCCCCTCCCCCAAGAGGGGTCCAAAGGGCACCCCGACTTCTCCCTCGCAACCCCGCGGGGTGTCCCCAGCGGCCGAGCTCCCACCCAGGGTTCTAGTCGCACTAACGAGACTTTTGAGGTAACAGCAAGTCCCAAGGTCAAGGTGAAAGAGTTCCCAAGGGCGGGGGGGATCCCCAGTTATTGCTGGCTCACAGGGCGGCCACGGGCAGGGCCAGGGCTGGGGTGGGCACCTGAGAAGCCCAGGTCAGGCTCGGTCCTTGTCTGGGAAACGTTGGGTGACACCCGTTTAGGCCGTGACTGAGCCCTGGGCAGGGGCAGGGGGCATCTGGGTCCCAGCTCTCAGCGGGGGCGGCCAACAACTGCGCTGTAATTCCCTCCTCTGGCCACCAGAGGGCGCCATGGAGCCAGCCCTGAGATTCCCAGGGTGGCTCTGGGTGGCAGAGAAGGACCATCAGGCCCAGGGGGGCAGCTGCTCCTTGCCACTCAGCCACCCATTCCGATAGTCTCTGCTTTAGAATAGACATTATATATTAGATACTTCATCTGCAATACAACTCTCTCTTATAGCATCGGTGACATTAGTGTCCCCAAAAAAGGCAACCTCTTTTCTGAGGGGGGAGGGGTACCAGGGATGGAACCCAGGGGGGGCTTTAACCCCTGAGCCCCGTCCCCAGCCCTTTTTCTATTTTATTTAGACAGGGTCTCGCTGAGTTGCTTAGGGCCTCGCTTTGGCTGAGGCTGGCCTCCACCTTGTGATCCTCCTGCCTCAGCCTCCCGAGGCACTGGGATGACAGGTGGGTGCCCCTGGGCCTAGAGCTAAGGCAGCCTTTTTTTTTTTTTTTTTTTTTTTTTAGATATCTACAGCACTCAGCGGGGGACCGAGCCTCCCCTGGCAGAGGGAAAGGGGTGCGGGCAGAAGAGCCTCGGTCCATGGCTCAGGGACCTTCCGAGGCCACACGCTACACTGCTGCTTCCTGAAGATTGACCTTGGATTGTAAATCAGCTGGCAAGGTCACGGGTGGCTGCTCATGTGGAGGAAGTGCCAGTCATTTGCTGAGCCTTGGAAGGGCACATGAGTCTGCCCCAGGAGCTGGCCTGGGTGGGGACACAGGCCACATCGTCACACACCAGAGAAAGGCCACAGAGTCATGGCTGGTCAGAGAGGGCCACTGGGCGGGAGCTTGAGTAGGGGCCAGGGGTGGACACTTCTCCGATTATTGCATCTGGTTTCCTGGGTCACCAGGGATCCCTGGGAACCTCGTAGGAGCTGGGAGAGGCGGGCAGAGTCCCTGCATATTTAATTAATTATTATTATTATTATTATTTTTTGGTCCCAGGGATGGAACCCAGGGGCACTTAACCCCTGAGCCCTGTCCCCAGCCCTTTTTATATTTTTTTTAGAGACAGGGTCTCACTGAGTCGCTCAGGGCCTTGCTAAGTGGCTGAGGCTGGCCTCCAACTTGCGATCCTCCTGCCTCAGCCTCCGGAGTGGCTAGGATTATAGGCGTGCGCCACCACGCGGGGCCCTGCTTATTTAAGAAAAAAAAAAATTTAATAGAGTCCCTCTGTGGGAATTACCTGTCACCTTCTCTTTCTCATTATTACTATTATTATTATTATATATATATATATTTTTTTTTTTTTTTGCATAGTGTCTACCCTTTAGGGTAGTTCCGGTGCCTTGTAACCTTATATATGACATAAATTTATTTTTTTTTAAAGTTAACTGCGCCAGGGGTCCCTCCAATTTGGCGATTGGTTGGTTTTTAAGCCACTCTGAAGTAGCCAGCTCTGAGCTCCCTCTGCCCGCTTCCCCCAGGCCATGAGCTGGTCCCTTGGCCAGTGCATTCAGGGCGGGGACCCTCTGGGGACCCCTCTGGGGACAGCCATGGTTATCCTTTGGGAGACCCACATGTTGATTTCATGGAAGACGGAGTTGGTCACTTCCGGAAGCTCTTTGTGGAGGACGTGGTAGGCACCTTCGTAAATCTGCCATCAGAGGAGACGCAGGGGGGGTCAGGGCTACATCATCAGAAGAAGTGGCAGGTTGTGGGGGTGGGGAGTGGACACAGGGGACAGGAGTGGGCAGTGTCCTTAGGGCCAGCTCCCTGTGCCTGGAGCATCTGGCTTTCACTCCCCACCCCCCACCTTTTTTTGAGAGGGAGGGCAGGGTAGGGGACAGGGCCCTGCTAAGCTATGGAGGCTGGCCTCCAATTTGCGATCCTCCTGCCTCAGCCTCCCAAGTCGTTGGGATGATAGGCGGGCGCCACGGCCCCGCCGGTGGGGAGGCAGGACCTGTCAGCCGGAATGTCCCCCCGGAGCTGGGATCTGCCCCACTGGTTTCTGGGTCATGTGTCCTGGGGGCTCAGCAGGGGCTCCGCTCCTCATCTGGGGGCTTCCTCCCAGTTCAGTCAAATAAAACTAGCACATCTGTGTCCCCACCTTGAGAGTCTGTCCGAGGCAGCCAGGGCTGTCTCTTGGGTCTAACAGGCCACATAGCCAAGCCTCAGGGCCTGTCCCTGGGAGGTCCCTCGTCCACCCGCAGGGCCACCTCCTGCAGACTGTCAAGTGCCCCAGCATCTCTGTGACTATGTCTCCGGCTGCTGCTGGGCCTGGGGTTGCTGAGGCTGGTACCCAGGGAGGTTGGGGACCATGCATGTCATTGGAACTTGGAAGGGACATTCTCTCTGGACACTGTATTTGTTCAGCAAACAAACAGTGGCAGGATCCAGGTCCTCCCACAGCTCTCCAGGATCTGATTAGACACACCCACAGGGAAGCCCGCCTCCTGCCACGCCCCAGGGCGGGGCTATGCTGTGGGCGGGGCTACACTGTGGGTGTGGCTAAACTGGGACAGGGCTATGCTGTGGGTGGAGTTATGCTGTGGGGCGGGGCTATGATATGGGGTGGGGTTATGATGTGGGTGTGGCTAGGTGGTGTGGTGAGGCTACACTGTGGGTGGAGCTATGCTGTGGGTGTGGCTAAACTGTGGGGCAGGGCTATGCTGTGGGGCTGGGCTACAATAGGGGGTGGGGCTATGAGGTGGGTGTGGCTAGATGGTGGGGCGGGGCTATACTGTGGGCAGGGCTATACTGTGGGTGTGGCTAAACTGGGACAGGGCTATGCTGTGGGGCGGGGCTATGATATGGGGTGGGGCTATGATGTGGGTGTGACTAGGTGGTGGGGCGGGGCTATGCCATGGGCGGGGGTAGGCTGTGAGTGTGGCTCAACTGTGGGACAAGGCTATGCTGTGAGTGGGGGGGGCTATGATGTGGGTGTGGCTAGGTGGCGGGGAGGGGCTACACTGTGGGCGGGGCACACTGTGGGCGGGGCTACAGGCTACACTGTAGGCGGGGCGGGGCCGGGCAGCCGCTCACCTTGAGAGTCTTGTCCTGGCTCTTGGCTGACTCCATGAGCAGGTAGGCCCCTTTGCTGTCACACAGGCGGTCTGCGGAGCCCTGGAGCAGCAGGAAGGGCAAGGTCAGCTTGGGGAGGGCTCGCTCCACCCGCGAGACAGCGTTGAGTAGTTGGATCCCAAAGCACACTTTCAGCCCCGCCCGGCAGATGAGAGGGTCCGAGTTGTAAAGCTCAACCTGGAGGAGGGGGGACCAAAAAGAAGAGAAAAAGTCACCATCAGTGCAGGCCGGGGCTCACCCTTGCTAGGCTCAGATCATTTATTTTTTCTTTTTTGGTGTCGGAGAAAACTTCCGGGGTGCTTAACCCCTGAGCCACATCCGCAGCCCTTTTCATGTTTTATTTAGAGACAGGATGTCACTGAGTTGCTAAGTGGCTGAGGCTGGCCTCCACCTGACGATCCTCCTGCCTCAGCCTCCTGAGCTGCTGGGATGACAGGTGTGCACCCCCACACCCAGCCTCAGCAAGTCATTGCCCCGATATGTGGCCTGAGATGGGACATCTGCCCTACAGAATCTGGGTGAGAAGGCTCTAGAAGTGTCTCAAGCCCTGATGGGTAGGCGTGAGGCCCCAGTGCCCCTTTGCTTACTTTCCCCAGGGCAGGCTGGAGATCTGTCCTGTGGTGTGGACAGGGTTGGGGCAGAGGGCAGCCCCAGGAGACCCCAGGCCGCCACTGGACTGGGACTCAGGCTCTCCACGGCCACACCCCCCTTCTGTCACCACCCCTTGCAGGGCCTGGGCCAGAATTCCAGATCCAGGCCAAGAGGGGACCGGCTGTCCTGTGGTCACCCTGCCATCCTGGATTCCGTCCCATGCCAGAGACTGAGCATCGCAGAGCGGACCATTGGTGAAAAGCCACCCGAGTCGGATTAGCCAGTTCCTGCAGCTGAGTGTGTGACTCCCAGCAGCCAAGGCCATCTGTTTGGCAGGCTGTGCTGGGCGGGAGCGGGTCATGGACCTCGGCTGCAGTGCAAGCAGCCCACCAGGGAGGAGAGCTGTAGGGCCACAGAGGAGCCCTGGGCTCAGGATTGCCCAAGTCCTGATGCCTACAGTGATAGCAACGAGAACACCCTGTGCCCAGCCCGGGGCCAGGACAGTGGGTCAGGGACCTGTTGAGTAATAAAAATAAGAACAGCTTTAAAAACAAAACAAAACAAAACAAAAAAAAAGTCTAGTTACACCCGAGCTCTTGCAAAATGCTCAGCCCTAATGTTTGTCTATATAATATCTAATAACGAATTTAACCTCCGTAACTACCTTGACCGAGGCACAGCTATTATTATTGTTGTTGTTGGTATCGGAGATTGAGCCCAGGGGTGCTTCGCCCCTGAGCCCCGTCCCCAGCCCCTTTTTCTATTTTATTTAGAGACAGGGTCTCGCTGAGTTGCTTAGGCCCTTTCTAAGTGGCTGAGGCTGGCCTCCAACTTGCAATCCTCCTGCCTCAGCCTCCCTCAAGCCGCTGGCTGGGATGACAGGCATGTGTACCGCACCTGGCTTATTATTCATTTTTTGCACATAAGGAAATTCAGGCAGAGAGAAGTTTAATAACCCCCCTGTTATGAGTTACCCCAATCCCTGTTTTCTCCTCTAGAATTTTTGATTTTCAGCTGGGTCCACAACTCCCCCAATGGAAGACTACATTCCCCAGCATCCCTTGCAGCAGGGCATGGTCACATGACCATGCTCCAACCAATAGGAGAAGAACAGGAGAGCTGCTGGTACCCTCTGGGTCCAAAGCTGGCCCTGCCTGTGGGTCCTTTAGGGAGGGAGTTGGGCCGTGTGGACCCAGGCTGGGGACACACTGGGACGTGTTGAGCTACAGGATGGGTCCCCTGGTGCTCAGAAGTCACCTGCCAGAGAACTAAGCCCTTTCCTGTTCAAGGCACTGTAGTGTGGGGTCTCAGGTCCATCTTGCTGTGTCCACATCCGGGCTCCTCCAGGGCCCTTGGGGGCTCCACCCGCGCCTGCTGTGAGTCTCGGCCATAGGTCGGGTGTCCTGTGTCCATTTCCTGAAACTGGCCTGAGACTCTGCCCTGCTTGGAGTGCCCCCAGCGCACCGGCCCCTTGGGGACTCTGCTCCAGGGTTGAATGGCTCTGGCGGCCCAGTGGCTTCCTGCCCTTGGCTTCCTTTCCCATGTCACGTAGACCCTGTTTACACTGCGGCCTGTTCTGGGCCTGGGGAAGGAGCTGCCAGATGTGTGGGGGAAAGGGCAGGCCCGAGAAGGAGGGGAAAGGCCAGGGCCCAGGCCCTCCCTTCCAGATAGTGGCCACGCCAGCCCCGTCCCAGCAGCCCTTGAGCATTTAAAATCAAAATCCACCTGAGGTCAGGCGCCCTCGAGCACGCCTATAATCCTGGCAGCTCGGGAGGCCGAGGCAGGAGGATCGCAAGGTGGAGGCCGGCCTCAGCCACTTAGGCACCAGGCAGCTCAGTGAGACTCTGTCTCTAAATAAAATACAAAACAGGGCTGGGGACGGGGCTGCGAGGCCCAAGGCCTCTGGGTTCAGTCCCCAGTACCACCACACGTGCCCCCCGCCCCCCCAAAAAGAAAGGCAAGAGCAGAAAAGGTCATAGAGAGACACAAAGAGGCAGAGCTGGGTCCCTCTGAGTCACAGATGTCAACGGACTTGACTGGCAGGAACAAAAGGGGCCCTCATCGGGCGTCCCCAGCCCTCCTGAGACTTTGCTGACTGGGTGCCCACCCACAGGGTGGCAGGGGCGAGATAAAGACTTGGCCTGACTCGGCAGAAACGCCCAGGTCCCTGTTTACCAGGAGCCCGGAGCCCCGTGTTGACATCTCGCTGTCCCCGAGGCCAGCTGCAGTGGACGCCCAGCCACAGGGGTCGAAATTCCTGAGTCAGACCAGAAGGATTGGGAAGCAGGATGTCACCTTCCCGTCTGCCCTCTGCTGGCGACGGTCTCCTTCTGGATAGGAGAGGGTGTCCCCGGGTGGGCCTCTACACCCCAGTGGCATGTGACTGACTGAATGAGCACTCTTGCCTCCAAGTGACTTTGTGTTATCCCAAGTTGGGGGCTCTGGGACTTCCTGGGGGACAGGCTGTTTGCATAAACCCACTGCAACTTCTGGGGATTCCTTCTAGAAGGCGCTTCAAAAGCAGAAAAAAAAAAAGAATAATCTGATAACTTGATTCTATAGACTATATCAAAACACCACAAGGTACCCCAAGACATGTACAATTTGGGGGGTGTCCTAGGAATAGAACCCAGAATTACTGTACCCCTGAGCTCCATCCCCAGCCTTTTAAAATTTTATTTATTTATCTTTTTGGAAACAGGATTTTGCTAAATTGTTGAGGCCGGCCTCCCATTTGTGATCCTCCTGTCTCAGCCTCCTGAGTGAGTGGGAGTCCTGAGATCAAACGGTGGGTGACCACCATGGAGACTAGAGCAAGAACCGAGCCAAAGAGGGTGACAAGGAAGCATGGTCGCTTGTCCTGACTGTGACAGTGGGTCTGGCCTTACGTGTGTGTCCCTGCCCTGTCTCCCTCCTGAAGTATTGGGATTATTCAGGATCCTGGTGCCGGCTACTTACTTTTTTGCTTAATTAAAGTAACTGATTAATTAATATTTGGTGACCAGGATGAAACCCAGGGGTGCTCTACCACTGAGCTTCATCTCCAGCCCCTTTTATTAGTTCTTCAAAAATGGCTTAAAAGTTGCTTAGCGCCTAAGTTGCCGAGGCTGGCCTCGAACTCACGATCCTCCTGCCTTGGCCTCCCAAATTGCTGGGATTACATGCAGGCACCACCACCACCACACACCCAGCTTCAAAGGACATCCCAGCAGCTGGGGAGGCTGAGGCAGGAGGATCGCCGGTTGGAGGCCAGCCTCAGCCACTTAGCAAGTCCCTGTCTCAAAAAAATAAAATAAAATGGGGTGGGGACGGGGCTCCGTGGTCGAGCACCCCTGGGTTCAATTCCATGCCTCTCCTGGGTTCAGAGAATGGTTCTCTCAGCTCTGCCTCGGTGACAGTGACAGAGGCCTGGGGACAGGGAGAGAAAGGGCCTGATCCTTGATTCTGGAAGCATCTGCAGTAGCGGTGGGGCTGAGCTGGTCCCCACCTATGCACATGGAGGGAGGCAGAGGGGGGCTTCTCTCAGCTGCTGGGCTTCCAGAACTTTCCATCTGGCCGGCCTGGGTGACCGCAGCTGTGACAGAAAGGCGTCCCAGGCCAGAGAACTATCTGGAATGGCATTCGAGGATTTTCAGGGTGGGAGGGAATTCGCTACAGCGTGAAAAAACCCCATTGTTAGCAGTGGAATGATTAAGATGTCAAGAGGCTTATTTTTTATTTTATTTTATTTTTTTAATTTTTGGTGCCAGGGATTGAACCCAGGGGCACTTGACCCCGGAGCCCCGTCCCCAGCCCTTTTTTCTATTTTATTTAGAGACAGGGTCTCACTGAGTTGCTCAGGGCCTTGCTAAATGGTTGAGGCTGGCCTCCACCTTGTGATCCTCCTGCCTCAGCCTCCCAATCTACTGGGCTGTCTGTCGTCTTTAATTTCTGATTAGGGACCCTAGAACAAGGGCCCGAACAGTGACCTCTTGTTTATCAGAGCTGCCCAAGAGCATTGGGCCCCTGAGGAGACAGACCCAGGCTCCCATCCTTACTTAGTTGCTGTGTGTTTTTGGGGAGGGTGACTTGCCCTCTCTGGGCCCGAGCTTCCACATCTGCAAAGAAGAATCCAAAGGCTGACTTCGGCAGGTTCTGAGGGGACCCCAAAGGCTACAGTGTCTTGCATGGAAGAAGAAGGATGCCATTGATTGTCCCCTGGGTGGTGTTGGGACAATAAGAAGGTATACCCGCCTCCCACGGAGACGGTCAGCCGGGGGCTCCTTGTAACAGGAGGATCAAACACACCAGCAGGAAAAGAGGCATCCAGGAGCAGGCCTGTCCATCCAATGAGCTCAAATCTCCGCCCTTGCCCTCTGGCCGGCTGTGCCACCTTTGATAGGTGACTTGACCTCTCTGGGCCTCCATTTTTCTCATCTGTGAAATGGGGGGAAGGCAGCTCCCCCGCCTGCCGGGATCCAATCAGACTCCACGTTGGGCTTCCCTCTTTCTGGAACTTGAGGTTCTGCCTTTTTCCACGGGGAGATGCTGCTTTTCAGAATGATTTTTTTCCCCCTTTGTTCAAATGGTCATTCAGAAAGGTCCTAGGTCTGCGGCCGCTCGAGGCTGGCCTCTGGTGAGGGAGACTGGCCCCGGGTGCCATTCTGCTGAGGCTGGCCTCCAGCTTGCGATCCTCCCCCTCATGCCCCACTCCTTTTCCTGGACACAATAACCTGCTCTTGGACAACCAGCCAATGAGAATCACCTCCTGAAGCCAGGTGTGGGGGCCCACACCTGTCACCCCAGGGACTCGGGAGGCTGAGGCAGGAGGATGGCGATTTCGAGGCCAAGCCTCAGCCATTTAGCAAGGCCCTAAGCATCTTAGAGAGAGACCCTGTCTGCAATTAAAAACTAATTTTTTCCAAGGGCTGGGGATGTGGCTCTGGTGGTAAAGTAACCCTGGGCTAGATCCCCAATTTAAAAAAAAAAAAAAAAAATCCCTGAGACTTTGTTGAAAAGAGTCACTGGTTTTTTGACGGAGGTTGCTCGGGTACAATTGCCAGTGGCCACCTTTCCTTCCATTTAGGAAAAGCCTTTCTGGGAATGAAGCCAGACCAGGGTGGGATGAGAGTTGAGGAGAACCAGGGTGGTGAATAGGATTTTGGATCTCCTGGATACAGCCATGCCTGAAGCCCTTAGTTCTCTTTTTGAATCAATCCTTCCTTTGGCTTAAGTGACAGAGCAGCAGAAATCCAAGGACAGACCCAAACTTGGATTTCTCCAGGGTGAGGGGTTGCTGCCTGCACCTCTAGTTACACCGACCCCAAGTTACCCCCGCCCTGATTTTCCGAAAGACTCACCTCTGTCTTGTTCCGGGAGAGGACGCTGGAATCGATGGGCCCCAGGGACATGTTTGGCAGGACAAGGTTGAGCACTTTCGCAGCGAGGACCTAGGCGGGGAGGCGAAACATGAGTCCCATGTGGCATCGACACCCCCCTCTTCCTGAGGGACAGGCTACAAGTCCCATTAAGGACCGCGAGACCCAAATTGCACATCAGCCTCCGCCGATCTCCAGAGTCTCCACCCTGGACTCTGTGGGGTGGCTTTTCCCACAAGTCGCTCGTTGGCTGCGACCTTGAATGATTTGCTGCACCCCAGTCCCTTTTGGGGGGGTCCCACAAATACCCAGCAGGGACAGAGGCATCCAGATCAATTGGGGATGGATGAAAACAGGGGTTGGTGACCCCTGTATGCACAAGCCCAGGCACACAGTCGGTGCTTCCTATATGCTCACTGAACTTGAACCTGACTCGGGTCCAAGTCCCCCTCTCCTCCCCCATCTCTCTCTCTCCTTTGGGGATCTCGAGTGTCCCCAGGGGCAAAGAGCCCGGGTCTCACACCGTCTGCCTGCAGAGAGGACAGTTCCCATCCTCGGTGACACTTGGGGAAGGGGAGGGGCTGTTTCAAAAGTGAGGTGCCAAATGCCGGAATTGGAGTCCGAGGGAAGGTGGGAGCCACAGGGAGCGCTGGAGACGCAGCAGGGCGCAGTGCCGCGGCGGGCAGTGCGCATGTGCATCTTGGAACCAGCTTGCACGGGCCTGTCGCCTGTCCTAGCAGGTACCTGAACCTCACGTCAGACTCAGGTGGCCTCCCCCTGCCACTGAGGATGCTGAACCTCCCTGCACCCCGACAGTGCGGTGGTGCAGGCCTGCCATCCCAGTGGCTTGGGAGGCTGAGGCAGGAGGATCCCAAGTGGGAGGCCAGCCTCAGCAAAAGCAAGGCGCTCAGCAACTCAGCGAGACTCTGTCTCTAAATAAAATACAAAATAGGGCTTGGGGGGGTGGCTCAGTGGTTCAGTGCCCCTGAGTTCAATCTCTGGGAACAACAACAACAAAAATGATTTGGATCTTTTTCAACGTGGACGGGACATCTCTGAATTCACAGAACCAGATGCTCCTTGGAGAACCTAGATTCTGGAGGTGGGAATGGGCAAAAGATCTAAATTCAGGGCACTTTCAAAAGGTAGAAGATCCGATAATGAAGAAAACAAAACAGCAGGTCATTGCAGAGAGTGAACAGACCCCCTGTAACCTTTATTAGACTCCAACTGCATACAGGTGGACCTTCTGGGGAACTGTGTGTCTTCTGGGGCCTCATTATTGGGAGAGAATTGAGGATATGTTTTTTCCAGCACTGGACTCAGGAAGGCCACAGGAGATTGGGGTGACCGATAGCCAGATGCCAGGCTCCCAGACACTGACCCCTGTCTGGCCAATCTGGCTGCCCACTTCCTTCCTGTCCCCAGATTAGGTGGGCCATGAGCCAGGAGAAGGCTGAGCGCAGGACTGACCGCCTCAGCCCTGACCCCGCGACAGAAGAGGAGCGGAGAGAGACCGGGCAGCGCCTGCTCCACTTTATCGGTCCCACCACCAGATCCCTCCTTTGCCAGCCGGCCCCAATTTTGAAGCCCATCACCTGATTTTTTGCAAGGACCCAGGCATGGAAATCCTGGTCCATCTTTACGATTTGGTCATTTGCAAAAGAGACACATTTACCTTCACCCTTGAACCTAGGTCCCTGCTGGGGGCACCACTCAAGCCAAAATGTCTACGCCCCAAAGTGCCAAGACCTCACAATGCGGGCTCTCATTGAAGGGATGACAGTCTAGACAGTTGGCTTTTAAGAAAACGAGTTCTTGCCAGATGTGGAGACGCACACCCATGATCTCAGCTGCTCGGGAGGCCGAGGCAGGAGGATTGCAAGGTGGAGGCCAGCCTCAGCCACTGAGCAAGGCCCTGAGCAACTCAGCGAGACCCTGTCTCTAAATAAAATAGAAAAAGGGGCTGGGGATGGGGCTCCGGGGTGAAGCACCCCAGGGTTCAATCCCTGGTACCCCAAGCCAGAGTGGAGAGCAGGGAAGGGTGTGGAGGCCAGGAGTTGAGGACGGCAGCACCTCCACCCAGAGAGAGAGCGAGCGAGCACCGTGGAGGTCGACCAGATGGCCACTGCTCTCTGCCCTCCTTGGGGGGAAAAAAAAATCTCCCAGAGCGTCCATCCCTGATTGTGAGAGCCCCATCACCGCTTCCCAAGAGAAGGTTCCGGAAGCCTGACCAGGGTATTGCTCACCCATAAGAAAAGTGGGATCCAAACCATTACCAATCTCGATGTGTTTTCCACCAAGTCTGTGAATATCTTCGGGTGATCCTGTGGGGGGCGGAGAGCGCCTTGGGCCCAGCTCGGGAGAAAAGGTCCCCGGACGGGCCCCATGGCTGACATGAGGTCCCCACCGTCCCCCGGACCCCGACAGACAGGTGAGGTCAGGTCTGGTGCAGCCACAGGGAGGGTGTCCAGGGAGTAGCCACCCCCCAACCGGACGAGCAGGCGGTGCGATGGGATGGACAGTCAGACTCGGAGGCCAGGCGGGTGGACCTGGCTCTGTGTCCACGAGGGTGCCTCTGACCCTCGGTCTCCTCGTCTATACAATGGGGCTCATCCAACCAGCCTCGAATGAGGGCTGGGCCTACTGCCCAGGGCGCTCTCCCTGACTCCCTTTCCGGCTCCTGACCCTGAGAAGAACAGCTCAGAGACTTTCTTGTTGGTCGACTGAACAAGTGAGCGCAGTGCTCAAGTGGACGCTCCTGGTCCTGGGAACACGAGAGACACCCCCTTACTGGTCCCAGAGTTTTCATGGCGCCCACCACTCAGGCTTCTGCCCGCAGAGGCCTCCTCACCAGGAGGACGGGATTGCCACCGCCTTCTCCTAAGGAGGTTCTGCAAAACCGACCTGCGCAGAGAAGGCCGGGTCTTCACGCCTTTTATGGGGACAGCGTCATGACCAGGGTCACCCGTGACGCGGCAGGACACTGCGAGGCTCAAGTCAGACTGACTCTTTTTTCTTGGTCCCAGGGATTGAACCCAGGGACACTTGACCCCTGAGCCCCGTCCGTCCCCAACCCAAAGGTTGTTATTTAGAGACAGGGTCTCGCTGAGTTGCTGAGGCTGGCCTCCATCTTGCGATCCTCCTGCCTCAGCCTCCCTGGCTGCTGGGATGGCAGGTGTGACCACTGAGCCTGGCAGGATTTTCCTCAGGTAAAACTACGCCTGACGCCTCCCCGGGAAGGACTGGGCACTCCTTCCAAGATGTAGGACAAGGGGTCACTACACCGTTGACTTTCTGGGTCGCGATGATGGAACCACAGACGTCTAGCGACCCAGCGCAGAGTTATCAGGGCAGGGGCCACAGCAGGAGAAGGACAGCCGCTCATGGCTGTTGCTAGATGGGCGCCCGAGGAACTTCCTGATCCGGGGCCTAAACATGGACGTGCACCTGGGGAACTTCCTGATCCAGGGGACTAAACATGGACGTGCACCTGGGGAACTTCCTGTCCGGGGCCTAAACATGGCCGTGCACCTGGGGAACTTCCTGTCTGGGGCCTAAACATGGCCGTGCACCTGGGGAACTTCCTGTCCAGGGCCTAAACATGGACGTGCGCCCAGCCTGGCTGGGGACGGGGACATCTTGCGACGCTGGCTGCCCCAGATCCTCAGGGACCTCACGGGGACAGTGGTTGACCTGATTCTCCTCTGGCCGCTGACCCTCAGCCCCCGGGGTCTGCCCAGGGAGGTTCAGGGGGCCCCTGTGACCTGCTGCTCGTTATCCACCGACGTCCTGGGCGAGCCCAGGTCAGGACTGTGAGTGACATCTCCTGGATGGACAGCCGGCGGGGACTTCGCCTCTGTCCCCAGGCCTCGGACACCGGATGATCCCTCCCAGAGACAGAAAATAACCCCACACCGCCCAGGACTTGCTTTAGAGCTTTTGCTTCTGAAATTTTCAGAAAAAAAAAAAATTTCCAGAAATTTTTGCTGCCACCTTCTTTGTGAAGCCAGTTTTTCAACAGGGACAATATTCCAGGGACCCGAGTCCCTGTCCTCATTGTCTCTTCTTCTGGGCTAAATATAGCTCAGCTTGTTGTTGAAAAAGGAGGCTCCGTGTAAGAACCAGATGGTGGTGCGATTTGGGGGGTTGGGGGCGATCAGGAGCCCTCGTTCCAGGGGGACGGGGCTGGCCATTTTCCACGTGGCTCTCTGTTCTCTGACTGGGTGTCTGGAGTTGCCCACCTCGAATAACTGGGGCTCGGGAGGCTGAGGCAGGAGGATCGCAAGTTGGAGGCCAGCCTCTACAACTTAGCCAGGCCCTGAGCAGCTCAGTGAGACCCTGTCTCTAAATACAATAGAAAAAGGGCTGGGGACGGGGCTCAGGGCTTAAGCACCCCTGGGTTCAGTCCCTGGTGTATATATATTTAAAAAATAAAAAAATAAACATGGGGCTTGCCCACGTAGGCCAGCCACGTCCCCAGGCCTTTTTTACTTTTTATGTTGAGACAGGGTCTTGCTAAGTGGCTGAGGCCGGCCTCCAACTTGCGATCCTCCTGCCTCAGCCTCCTGAGCTGCTGGGATGACAGGCGTGGGCCCCAATTATTCTCCAAACTTTTAAAATTCATATTTAAAAAAAAAAGATTCTAAAGTGCTTTCACGAGTGTTTCAGAGGAGACCAGACCGTGTATCCAGGGCATCCACATCCCCTCGCCCCAGGGACGGGCTAGACCAATGAATCTGACACTGTCCGTCACAATTGCCAAAGACCAGCAGCAGCAACAGATTTCTGGGGTGGGGTGGCGGGGAGAGGAGGGCCATCAGGTCCGGGACGAAGAGAAATCTCATTTGTCCTGGTTAATCAGAGGAGACCCCTGGTTCCCCGGGGAAGGCCGGCTCCTGATTTGACAAGGTGATCTATTAGCGCGAGTCTCTGAGAGGTCACAGTGCTGGCTCTGCCCAGAAGTGTCACTTCTGCGGGTCAGTGCCTGGGGTCCCATGGGAGGCTGGGAGGGAACCTCAGTGCCATAGTCTCTCTGCTACCCCTTCCGTGAAGAGCCCTCTGGTCCTGGCTTTTCTCCAAGGGAGAAACATCCATTTTCTTCTATGTAGGAGGGGAGACCTCCTAACAAGGAGATGGTCAGCCTCCACCCCCCAGCCTCAAATTCCAAATCAGCCAGGGAGGGTCCTGGACACTCCCTTGCCTTTCGCAGCCCTAAAACACTGTCCAGGATCTTTGCACAGAATGCACTTGGCATGCCGTGCGCTTCACCGTTCTTCAAAAACCCAAATCAGGGGCGCAGTGGCCCACGCCTGTCATCCCAGCCGCTCGGGAGGCTGAGGCAGGAGGATCGCAAGGTGGAGGCCAGCCTCAGCCACTTAGGCCCTGAGCAACTCAGCGAGACCCTGTCTCTAAATAAAAAAAAAAAAAATTTTAAAAAGGGCTGGGGACGGGGGCTCCGGGGTGAAGCACCCCCTGAGTTCAGACCCTAGTACCAGAAAAGTAAAAATAAAAATCACATGAAATAGGACGGAACTCGCTATCCCTCTGCTGTGGTCGCCATCTTATCCCATTGAGATAAGAAGCCTGGGATGATCGGGCGTCCTGTAGCTTAATCACAGTCATTATGGGAAGTGTCAAGCAGGGCGCGCGTCCCTTGTGCATTTCAATGATGAAGTGCTCTGGAGGTGCATTAGCGGTGGAGCCCAGGGACCCTGGTGACGGACCTCCACTGCTACTGAGAGAGACTCAGCCAGCAGCGGTGACGTCCTTCAAATGGGGTCAAAATTCAGTGTGAATCAAGTGCCTCGTTCTCTGGTTGAACTGTCAGTTTCCAGGGCTCCCTTCGGCCCAACCCGTTCCCATTTTAGATGGCTGAGGTCCTCTGTGACCTATGGGAACCTGACCCTGGCTCTAGGGGTGGCAGGATCAGGCCTGTGGATGTGGATTAGAAAATAAAAACTATATATATATATTTTTGGTACCAGGGACTGAACCCAGGGGCACTTAACCCCTGAGTCCCATCCGCAGCCCTTTTTCTATTTTATTTAGAGACAGGGTCTCGCTGAGTGGCTCAGGGCCTCACTCTGTGGCTGAGGCTGGCCTCCGACTTGCGATCCTCCTGCCTCGGCCTCCCGAGCTGCTGGGATCAAGTGGCCCCACGGAGAGGGGACTGGTTTCCTCTCCTTCCCCAGAAGGCAGGTGATGTCCTATGCCTTGTCCAGAGAATCCCGGCGACCCCAGCCCCCACCCTGCGCGTGCTAATCCCCAATGAACCCATTAGAGTCATTAGGGACAGAGAGGAACTAGAGAGAACAGACACCCTTCTCGGTGGCCATGAGCAATCGCTGAGAATTGCCCTCGCTGTGCATTTTCTGTCCAAGTGGGTGAAGGTTCTGTTCCAAAAAATAATAACAATAATAATAAAAATAGCTCAAGCCTTGCCTGTGAGTGACGGCAAGCCGACGTCACTTTGGGGACAGATGACACACAGAAGCCCATTCTCCTTTGCAACTTGGCAGAAAGAACCGGCGCAGAGCAGGAAAGCTCTCTGTCTCTCCTTTGTTTTTGGGGGAAACGCAGCAGCTGACTTTAGAGGTTATAGGTCCCCAGGGGCACGAGGATCTTTGTGCACACTTTGGCACCTTCGTGTGTGAAGCCTGAGTACGAGTGGCCCTGGGCCCTGTGACCCAGCCTCTAGCTCTAAATGCACAGGACGGCATGCACGTCCCGGGGGACCGCGGGGGCCCGCACACACACCCCCCAGAAAGTCCTTTACCTTGAAAGTCGACGCAGACTCGGGATTGGCCAGAACCAGGGGTGAGATGAGGACCATCCCGGAGAAGTGGCCCGGCCTCTCTGCTGCTGTGAGGATCACAATGGCGCCTCCCTGAAAAGCCAAAGTGGCAGAGACAGGGTCTCGCTGAGTTGCTCAGGGGCTAAGTGGCTGAGGCTGGCCTCCACCTTGCGATCCTCCTGTCTCAGCCTCCAGGAGCTGCTGGGGTGACAGGGGTGGTGAGCCTCTCATCAGGGGCTGGGTCTGCTTACCATGGAGTGGCCCAGGAGGAAGACAGGGAGGCTGGGGTAGTCCTTCTGCATGACATCCACGTGCTGTAGCACGTCCCTGACGAAAACGTGGAAGTCAGACACCACCATCCTCTCCCCTTCGCTCTGCCCGTGGCCGACTGCAGAAGGAGCCAGAGAGAAAAGAGAGCCCGCTGAGTCCTTGAACCCATCAACGCATCATCTCATTTAACCAATTCCCAATTTTTTCAATATATCATCTCATTTAACAGATCCCCCCCCCAGGATCAAACCCAAGCTTCTCTGCTAATTATTATTATTATTATTATTTTTTGGTGACACAGGGTCTCACCAAGTTCCTGAAGCTGCCTCAGATCCTTTGGGAACATTGGAATTCTTCTCCCTCTCTGGGCCTTGGACAGATTAGGAAACCCAAAGCACAGAGAGGTTAAGGAACTTGCCCAAGATCACACAGCTACCGCGTCACCAGGGTGTGAGGACTGCAAAAGCCCCCTTCACCTGGCCACCCTATCTTCCTCGGTGAGTGACACTTTTGAAGGACGAAGGAAAGGACAGACAGACACAGTCTCAACCTGCCCAGTTTTCTGCAAAACTACCTGAGCCTCAGCATGTCCCCCGGGGCAGGGGGTGGGGGGGAAGAGCCCCCAGAGAATGGGGACCCCGGGGGGGGGGGTGTCAGGAGGACGCGGACCTCGCCTTCCTGCTGGGAGCTTGGGGCGGATCATTAAGTCTCCCGTGGCCTCTACGTGGAGGCTGTGCCGTGGTCAGGACGTAGCGCTCCTTCCGCAGCAGCCAGGGGCATGGGGGTCGCCCTGCCTGGACTGACAGACCCCTCTCAGCAGCCCCCTGTGCTCAGACCCCAAGCACCTCTTTCCCACCAGCCTGTCCCCCAGGAACCCCCAGCCTCCCCCTCTGCCCAGCTCACCTGTCTCCCTGCCCGGGCCCCCCTGGTCCTCCCAGCTCCACCACATTCTCAGCCAAACCTCGGGTTCTCTCTCCTGTGAGGGTTTTATTTCTGCTTTTCAAAACATATTACTAAGTCGGGTGCAGTGGTGCACACCCCTGTCCTCCCAGCAGCTCGGGAGGCTGAGGCAGGAGGATCGCAAGGTGGAGGCCAGCCTCAGCCAC